TCAAAGGCACCTCAAAGACGGTGCAAAATGAACTGTTGGACTGCATATTAGCAGTTACTAAAAATTACATTATGGAGGAGGTAAAAAATGCCAGTTATTTAGCTATTCAGGCGGGTGAGACCACTGATATTTCCACCCACTGCCAGTTAGTCATTGTGCTACGCTACAACATGTCACGTTCAGTGTTCACTGTCACGTCACTGAGGCTAAAGAGACAACGCTTTATATATACAGTCTATTCTAACAACAGACAACAGTTTGCTCCAAAAGTTAACCAGAGTCCCCTCCACCACACCCATTCCCGCAGCCTTCGCTCATCAGAAGCCAACCTCCGTCGGCGTAAAGAGGAGGTTTACCTGTGCACCTGTGCTGTGCTGCTGTGCTGCTGTGGGGAGGTTTTTTCCCCGGGAAGTCGCGGAGAGACGGAGCGGCTTCGCGTTCGGACTGCGGCCTGCTTTACACCTGCTGTAGCGGAGGCCTGTATCCACCTGCTCCACCTGTCGTGCTCTACAGTGCCGAGGACGTTTTACCACGGGGATATCGCGGAGAGACCGGAGCGCCTCGAGCTGGGCCTGCTTCGCCTATCCTGCTGTACTGAGGAGGTTCTGCACCGGGGATATCGCGAAGAGACCGGAGCGCCTCCACGTTTCGGGCCTGCTTGCGCGCCTATCCGGATGCTGTGCTGGTCTGGGAAAATGGCCCATATCGTGATTCTGCTATGCCTGTTAGCTATTTTGGACAATGAGAAGTTCTCTCGTTATCCTGAGAAGTCGACTGGATTCAGGTCTGTTCTACCGCCCGCAGTGGACATCCCCTGTAAAGGTTCGGATGTGTTACACAGACAATTACTGGTTGCCTTGTCACAGACATTCAGTTCGACAAATGTTTGTCTTTCTCACTTGCCTGCTATGATGGTTCTTCAGGACTGCTTCTTGAGCTCTAATCTCACTTTCGCAGAGTTTACTGGTGATTTTAAAGCAGATGTCGTGTTTCTGCTGTGCCTTTTTTTGGCTGTGCTGGACAAGGAGAAGATCGCTAGTAATCCTGAAAAATCTACTGGATTCGGGTATGTTCTGCCGCCCGCAGTGGACATCCCCTGTACAGTTTCGGAGGTGTTGCACAAACAATTGCTGGTTGCACTGTCGCGGACATTCATTTCGGAAAATGTTTGTCTTTCTCACATGCCTGCCACGATGGTCCTTCAGAATTGTTTTTTAAACTCTAATCTCACTTTCGCGAAGTTTGCTGGTGACTCTAGAACAGCTGACAATGTATGTGTGTTGATTAAGAGGAAAAGGTGCTTGGTATTTTTATTGTTGTTACTATCAGGAAATGTACAGCCAAATCCAGGTCCACCTAGCAGTATTAGTCAAATAGCTACTCCTGCTGATTTTATATCTAGATCGGGGTTAGGTTTAATTCATTTAAATGTGCGTAGTCTGTTACCTAAATTAGATTTTGTCCGTATTTGGGCGAGTTCGACTGATGCTGATGTCATTGTATTATCAGAAACGTGGCTAGATAAATCCATTTTGGCCTCTGACATTTACATAAATGGTTACAGTGTATATCGTACTGACCGGCCTAAAAAAGGTGGTGGCGTTGCCATTTATGTGAAAAATAAGTTTTGTGTAACTAATATGGTTTCCAAATCGGTTAGTAAACAGCTAGAGTTTTTAGCCGTGAATATTGAGGTAACAAAGGGTCAACAGGTCATGGTGGTGGGCTGCTACAGGGCCCCCTCGGCTGTCAAGGACTCTTTATCGTCATTGACAAAACTGTTATCACAACTTTCCTACAAGGAAATAGTGCTGCTTGGTGATTTTAACTGGGACTGGTTAACTTCTGTGTCAGAGGACTTTAAAAACCTGTGTACCTCTTTACATTTTACCCAGATTATAGACAGTCCTACTCGCCCAAATATTAAGTCCCCAAATAAATCCTCCTTAATTGATCTAATTTTAACAAATGTTCCACATAAATACTCATCTGTGGGAGTATTTGCTAATGATGTGAGTGACCACTGTGTTGTAGCCACAATTAGGGACACTAAGGTCCAAAAGGTTAAACCACGTATCATCACAAAGAGAGACAAAAAACACTTTGTGGAGCAGGGTTTTTTACATGATCTGTTTGATTCTGATTGGGGTAAAATCAATCTGTGTGCTGATGTAGAAACTGCATGGTCTTATTTTTATCTTGGTTTTATGAAAATTATAGATAGAGATGCACCTCTGCGTAAATTTAGAGTGAAGGGACGAAACAATCCCTGGTTTTCTGCTGAGCTATCCAGTCTACTTCATGAGAGAAATAATGCTTGGGCAAAGGCTAGGAAATCAGGCTCAGAGGTAGAATGGCTACGCTTTAGGCAGCTAAGAAATAGCTTCACATCTCAAATAAAAAGTGCTAAATCAAAGTACTATTTGTCAGTTACCACAGAAAACCTGAATAATCCTAGGAAATTTTGGAAAGCCATAAAATCGATTTCCACTGGTGATATCCCAAATGAGCTACCTCCGTGCCTCACCACAGCATCTGGCATTATATCAGACAGGGCTACTATGTTAAATTGCTTTAATAAGCATTTTGTGTCTTGTGGCTCTCTGTTTGATTCTGTCACTGACTGTACTTCTGCTTCTGTGAACGCTCCAATCCTTGACTCTGAACAATGTGGTCTGGAAAACCCTTTCAGTTTTACTCCTTTAACTATTGGTATTGTTCATGAAGCATTATCCAAGTTAGATCCTAGGAAACGGGCTGGCCCGGATAACTTAGAACCTTTCTTTTTAAAGTTAGCTGCAGATTTTATTGCTCCACCTCTTACTTCTCTTTTTAACCTCTCCCTCAGCACAAATACAATTCCAAAAGTATGGAAGTCTGCTTATGTCTTGCCTTTACTAAAAGGAGGGGAGGCAACTATTTTAAATAACTTTAGGCCAATCTCCAAATTGTCAGTTCTGGCTAAGGTGCTCGAACGACTTGTGAGTGACCAAGTAAAGGAGTTTTTATGTATAAATGATATCCTGTCTAGACATCAGTCAGGATTCAGAAAGAGATACAGCACCATCACTGCGACAATGAAAGTGGTAAATGACATTACTAGTATTTTGGATAATAAGCAGAGTTGTGCAGCTCTATTTATTGACCTTTCAAAAGCGTTTGACACCGTCGATCATCACATTTTAAAGCAGAGGCTAGCCAGTATAGGCATGTCCAGCCATGCAGTAGGGTGGTTTGTGAACTACCTCTCTGAAAGGTCCCAATGTGTTCACTTTGATGGGCTGTCTTCTGAGTGGTTGAACATTACTAATGGTGGTTCTGTTTTAGGTCCACTTTTATTCTCCATCTACATCAATAGTTTAGGTGAAAATGTGGATGAAGCTACTTTACATTTTTATGCAGATGATACTGTGATGTACTGTGCAGGTCCCTCCATTAAGGAGGCTGGTGTTAAATTACAGGCTGTTTTTAACATTATTCAGACTCAGCTCGCTGAACTAAAGCTTCTTTTAAATGTTGAGAAAACCAAGGTAAGGCTCTTTTCTAAAGCTAAAAAGACACCAGAGCCTGTTGTAGATATTGTTACTATGCAAGGACAAGTACTTGAAGTGGTTACCAGTTATAAATACCTAGGTATCTGGCTTGATGGTTGTCTTACTTTTAAACTTCAGGTCATTAATCTGCTTAAAAAGCTGAGGGTTAGACTAGGTTTCTTTTTTAGAAACAAGTCCTGTTTCTCTTTTGAAGCCAGGAAAAGGCTAGTCACTGTGACCTTTTTACCTGTGCTGGACTATGGTGATTTGATCTATATGAATGCACCTGCCCATTGCCTGGAAAAGTTAGATGCCGCCTATCACAGTGCCCTGAGATTTGTTACTAACTGTAAAGCACTTACTCATCACTGTACCCTGTATGCCAAGGCAGGTCTGCCTTCACTAACTGTACGGAGGCTCAGTCATTGGTACATGTTCATCTACAAAGCCATGTTGGGTAAACTACCTTTTTATATCTGCTCTCTGATCTCTCGACGAATTGAAAGTACATATTGCCTGAGATCTCATGATGTGGTTTTATTAAATGTGCCAAGTGCTAGGACTGTCTTAGGGAAGAAAGCTTTTAGTTGTGCAGCTCCACTAAATTGGAACAGTCTGCAAACATGTTTAAAACTGAGCACTTTGGTTCCCCTGCATCATTTTAAAACTCAGCTGGGTGACATGCTGTTTGATACTCATGGTACCTGTCTCTGTAAATAGAGTTTGTAAACTGTACCCTGTACATTATGTTGTATGTCATCCTTATTGTTGTTCTGTTGTTTTTATGTTACATGTGTAACTAATGTCCTGCAGGTCACCCTTGAAAAAGAGATATTTTGATCTCAAGGGGCTTTCACCTGGTTAAATAAAGGCTACAAACAAACAAACATCGATCCCCATAACAACGTCCAGGAGTGTTTTTTTGAGTTCATCCCCCTTCAAAATGCGAATGCTGACACAGTTGCCACCGCACTGATGGAGAGGCTGGGCACTATACTCCCCGATGGACAACAGGGCAAACTAATCGCCCAAGCCTATGACGGTGCAGCGGTGATGAGGGGAGCTAAAGGTGGAGTTCAGCGGAAAGTGAAGGATGTTTACAGTAGTGCGCACTACATCCACTGCTATGCGCATCAGCTGAACCTCATTATGCAGCAGGCAACATCCCACATCCCCAAAATAAGTGCATTTTTTTCAGACCTTGGTGGATTTGCTGCATTTTTCTCCAGGTCTTTTAAGAGAACTGCGATCCTGGATCAAGTGGTGGCACACAGACTTCCTGGCACTTCCACAACACGATGGAACTTTCACAGTCGTGCTGTTAACACTGTGTATGAGCAGAAGGAGAACATCCTGAAGTGTTTCAAGACAATCAGAGACTCAGGTGACTTTGATCCCATAACAGTGAGAGAAGCTGAGGGCTTTGTGAGAATGATGGAAGATGACGTTTTTGGCTTTTTCCTGACATTGTTCCACAAGATAATGCCACATGTAGACATGCTGTTTAGCCAACTGCAGAAGAGGAACATCGACTCTGTCTACATCAAAGGACTCATCAAGAGGTTCACCAGCAGCATACAGACAATCAGGTAAATCATTATTTACAATGGCTGAGATGTGCTTATTATAGGAAATCTATGAAACCTAAATGTGATTTAGCTGAACACAATAGACCAACTCATACATACTTGTTTAAATATCTTAAACAGGCTAACTGGAAATGTATATATTATATAACGTTTATAAGGTGTATCTCTGACTACTATTTCAAATAGTCAAACCTAATTTGTCAATTCTTCCCACAATGAGTAATTGTACATGGTTACTTGTGGTTTGGATCAGGGACTCCATTCCTCCTGATGGATCTGTACAACAGCCGCCCACAACAAAACGGAGGGGACTTGGACATGAAGAGCAACAGCGGTTGGCTAGAGAGGTAAGCAGTAATAGGAACGTGTTCTATGACCAAAAGCTCCTTTAATAATATAGGTAATTTCATATCACAATAATGATACATTTCACAATAAAGCCCATTTTCTGTAAATTCAATAAATAGGTAGGCTAGTTAAAATATCCATATAAAAGGCCTATTGCTTATTACATTCTGAATTGTATACACTTAACAAGGCCTAAACTGCAAAAAGTGTCCCACAGTCTCTACATTTCAAAGGGGATCAAGACAGATCAGAAAAGGTTTAGGCCTCCAGAAGCAACCACAGGGGACAGAAAGGGCCCAACAATAAATGAATGAAGTGTAAACAGTCATTAAATGTATATATTGTAGTGACTTAATTTTAAACAGTAATATTGTTCTGTTGACGCTCAGATAGATGTCCTGTTATTCTGATAGGTTCCATTCACAAGAAAGCTCTTTGTTTGTTACACATCGTATAGGGAACACTAATGACATTATGACTGATAGATGTGAAAAGGTGATTCTGTTATTTATTATGTCTTGATTTTTTCATTGTGCATTATTTCATAGGTATGTGATACCATACTGAGTCACACAAAGGAGAGATTCTCCTTCACCAAACACCTGATCAGCGCCACCCTCCTGCAAGGAGACCTGTTCGAGCAACACAGCCAAACATTCCCTGAAGCAGCGCTGAAAACAACTGTGGAGGCCTACCTACTGGAAAAGGCAAAGCTCAAGACGGAACTGTCCCTCGTCTATGACACTGACCAGTTCAGGGCTTGCAGTGGTGCTGTTAATCTGCTCCAGTTCTTTGTTGACAACAATCTGCAGGAGACATTCACAGAGACTGTCAGTCTTCTGAAGGTTCTTGTAACCACACCCATGGCTACGGCTGAGGCAGAGAGGTGCTTTTCCACTCTGAAAAGGATCAAGACTTTCTTGAGGAACAGCATGACACAGGATCGCCTGAATGCTCTGGTTATGCTGTCAATTGAGAAAAAACTAATTAGCAGCATTCTTGACTTCAACACCAGAGTCATTGAGAGGTTTGCCACTCAGAAGGAGAGAAGGGCAAAATTCCTCTACAAATAAAGACACATACACACACGGCCAACCCTTAAAAAATAAAATGCGTTTTATTAGAGAGACAATTAAACGGCCGCAGAATGTTGTTTATTTTATTTTACCTTTTATTTAACCAGGATAGGTCTCATAGAGATTAAAACTCTCTTTTTCAAGAGAGTCCTGTGTTGTGAAGTTACTTTTGGATACCAAAGATGTTTTCAATGTTGTTCAACCACAAAGTCCAGGAACATGAGGACAGTTTGGAAACCTGTTGCGTTCGACTCATTTCCCCCAGAGGAACAGTTGTTTATTGTTTCCTTTTGTTTTTGTTATTCAAAGCAGTAAAAAAGGTGCTATAGGCCAATAAGCTGGATATCACTTTATGTATGTAGAGAGGAGGTTTCCCATGGTTGTGTTAGAAGTTTATTAATAAGTGGGCATTTATTGTCTCCACGTTTGTTGCATTGTCTGTGATGTATTTTCCAACGGTTATAGCTCCTCCTGTCCTGTCCCAGCAACACTACACGGTTTGCAGCTCCACCACATTTTTGGTTTATCTTCGGTGTCGCTTTAAATCTGCTTCCCATCGGACTAAAACCTCCACGAAATCTGATGACAGATACTTGAAGTTATTTAAACCTTTTGCAAACTTCTTTATGTTCTTTCTTGCTCTAGTCTTGCCAGTTACATTGTACATAACAAATGTATTATCATTATGCTAACTGGTTGTTCGTGCTAGATGATGTAGCTTTTTCATTTCTGAGTTATTGATATATGTAAATAAGCCTGTTTGTAAATAACCCTCAGAGAAACAAAAACAAGTCTTATACAAATGTAAAGCTCTACGTTTTGTGCTGTGGTTCTTTTTTTTTAAATTGCATTCATTCACAACCACTTAAATATTTATAATTAATGCTACTGAAAATATGCTATTAATGACCAGAAACACATTATCTACATAACACATGCAGTTCACTGTAAATCCACTTGGTGGAGGTGTTGGTTCTTAAAACATGAACAGTTTTAAGAAAGAAAAAAACAAAGACCAGTTCTGAGAATACAAATTCCTGGTAAAGTGTAGATGTTCAGGTTGATAAATAATATTTTCCACACTGAAGATTATGGAGGTATTGATCAGTCTTCTCATATTTTTAAGCCTCAATGTGTCTTCTTCCCCCCCCAACATCACCAGAAGTCATAATTTAAGGGGTCATTTCTGAAAAATGTCACCCCCCGAACCCCCCGTGGAGGGGAGCCCCACCACAAAAATAGGCCACCAGCTGCCACTGTATACAATATATACGAATACACAATATTGGACACAGACTATAAAGGGCACACAGTTTCTTTCACTAATGAAAGTCACATGTTTGTTTCCACTGTTTTATTGTGTGCATAGGCCTGTCGCGATAAGCAATTAATTGACTTATCGTACGATAAATAAAAATGAACTCGATAAATTGCCATTTACATGAGGATGTGACTAGCAGTTTGAAAGGATGTACTTGAATTATTATTATATATTATCATTATGTCGGTGGTCTAAAATGGTCATACAATGGTGCCGACAATATTATCGTTTATTGCAATAATTTCCGGGAAAATGTATCCAACAAAATTAATTATCGTGAGAGGCCTATACATGAAACACACACACGCACACACACACACACAAATCTACAGACTTACTCCAAACTGCCAAATATATTAATTAACGCACTCTCACTCTCATATACTCTTTGACTCTATTTTGGCCTAGTAGAACAATAAGCAGCAGACTTTTACTTTTTATCATTTCTACTGGATCTCAGATCTGCGCATGCGCAATACGGGTCTGGGATTGACCAACCGGCTCCCACTGCTCTGCTGTCTGTTAACGTTGTTAAGAGTGGTGGGGGCGGGGCGGGAGCGGATCGACAGCTTGAGCAGCTGTCAACTAAAAAACGATCGCCGGTTCATCTTGTTTTTGGCGTGAGAATAGTTTGGGCAGCGTGAGAGCGTGAGATTGAGAGTGAAAGCGTGTGTCACACGCCAGATGCGTGAGAGTTGGCAACCCTGAACGGTATACCGATACCGTCCAATCAGGTACCGGTATTGACTTAGTACCGGTTCTCGATACCCATCCCTAGCATGATAAAAGCTTATCAAAAGTAAGTTTACTTGCTATTACAAAGTTAAAAGATACTGTTTGATCCTAAGAAGTCTACACTGTGTCTACTGATCTGGCTCAGAGGACTGCACGAGTAAAACTCTTTTTTATAGTATAACATGGTAGAATTAAATGATGGCATGCTATCTCTGCGATTAGTCATCATCTGTCTCCACAGACCTGACTTGTATTTGCCATTAAAGAAATGTCAAATTCTAATTTGAAAGGAAGAAGCTCAGAAGCCACCCACCACATATAAGCCTCTGGCTGTTAGAGATGCCAACATGTGTACAGCTGCTTATTAGTCAGTAACATTATGTCATAGTTCTGACAGGGTCATGGCATCGGCTCACACCGGATAACAAGGCCACACATTGAAATCGTCCACAAGGAAATCATTATATTCTACTCTGTCTTATTTTGATTAAGTCCTTCAGTTTAACTCACAATAATATAAATAGACGCCTAGTTTTTTAAGGAAGGAGAAGAGGTGCATACACTACAACTGAAGCAGATGTTCAACAGCAGGATTCATGACGGATATGTTGGACACAAATCCTGTATTTGTGAAATGCTGCTGTCCAATCTCCACAGTAAGCACATTTTACCTGGTGCGAGAGGAGATAAAATGCCAGCTCCCTAATACGTCTCTATTTAGACATGACAGCTATTCCCGCCTCACTTCATGTCCACAGTGAACTCTCCCTGCTCTGAACACAGACAGATTTCCTCTTTCCAGAAAGCTCACCATTTGTCATTCCTTTTTTTACAATCTTCCTGTAACCATCACATATGAAGACACACAAGCTGCTCTGTGATATTTACTTTATTTCAGTGAACTGTCAGAGCCTTCCATTGATGCCTCATGTGTCTGCATTGTTCCTTAGCTGTACAGTAAAGATCTGACCTTTCGATGGAAAGATAACAACAAGTTCACGTCAGCAGTTGGCTAATTAAGTTGTTACTTGAGACATTGGAAGCAGAGGCTAGCAGGATGATCTATCTGAGAGTCATGGATACTGAAATGTGCACAGGGATAAAGCTACTGCACATACAGCTGTTTGTTTCAAAGAATACAGCTTGTTTTAAAAAGGTCAATATGTAACATTTCAGCATTAAAATGTCTAAAGCTATGTAAGATTGGGTCGAGTTGAATATTAACAAAATCTGTCGTTTTTTTTCAAGGTTTTGTCATTTGCTCTCTACGACGGCATCATCAATTAAGCATGAGACCGAATTGTTATTGGTGGTTTTTAACTAGTTTTTTTTTTTTACCAGATTAAGGATTTTAATAACTGGATTTCTGGATCTTCAGATATCAGAGACACAAGATGAGCAAATGTTAACAGCCAAACAGCAGACCTTTAACGTAAAACTGTTATCAATGGTCACTGGAAATCTGGTCCATTTGCAAATTAGTATGGTTCATCTGGGTTGGTTTAAAAGCTGACAATGGAACCAAACCAAAACCGAACAGAGACACAAAGGGTTTACAGTCCTGTCGCTAGTCATTGTTAATAACATATGGCCAATTTGCAGTACAGTAACACCAAAAAGTGTCAATAAGTGGTTACTTCTTCGTAAGCTCTTTGTGAGTCGCAATAACAACTATACTTCAGAAGCATTACAGTTAGTCCACAAGCTGTGTGGAGGCGGCAGCGGTCACAGCGGGAACACATGTAGCACCTTGGAAAGCACATGAAATGTCAGGTTGAATCGGTAACACAAGTGTTGTCACAAGATTATTAACCGGTATGAACTGTTCCCCTTCATGGCAGCCGTAGTTCTCTTACAACTCCACTGAAAGTACAGATGTACACTGAAAATACTGAGACATTTACTTTAAATAAATGAATTATGTCAACAGTTTCACATAACTGTGTTTGGCAGTGGCGAGCCGTGAGTTTTGTACCTAGGGCCTCTGACACTTCACTTAAACACAAAGTCCATCCTCCTGTCCTTTTGGATGAAGCACTTGATGGCGGGTCATTCAGCTGATCCTTTGCCACTCCAGTTTATCATTCTAACTCAATCTTGAAAATGACTCGGTTAATCATTTCGCAACGATGTCATCACTGACATGAGCCATCACGAACGAACTTATGCTAATCATAAATCTATCGATTAGATTTATGATTCGCAAATAATAAAAGTAGGGTAGACATGTGGATATTATCCGGCTGAACAAAACGTGCATTTATCAAACAGGTTCGTTTTCCACAGACCTTATTTCCTTATATATATATACCTTATTTTCCAAAATCCGATGGAGAAATCTCATTGCTTTTTTGTCGTGGGAACCCGAGCGCAGCTTACTTCCGGGTTTTAGGACGCGTCACTGCACCACTTTATACACATGCATAAACTTCACAGCGGGCGGATCTTGTCATAAAGTCCGCGAAAATAAAGACCACCCATTTAGAGGGAAGATATGATACATATGATATACATTACTCTCTCTATATAGTTACTATAGCTGGCCCTCTGTGAATGTACAGAGGGACCAACAAGCCCTCCCGTCTTCACGGTAACGCAGAGACGGCATTTAACCCTTCATATTCCAACAAAAACTGAACAGGCAGATTCGAAGGATTTATTTCTTTGGAAATGTTATTTTAAATACAATTAAATCAAGTTATTTTGGTAAAACTAATGAAAAATGTATGTTTTAATGTTTTAAAATATTATTTTTTAGAATATCTTAGGCCCTCACAGAGGGTCGCCACTGGTGTTTGGGTTAGTTGAAACTAATAATATTAACTTTAAATAAAAAAAGAGTTCAGGTTCAACTTAATATTATTGCTTTCAACCAACCTAATACAGTTATGGGACATTTGTTGACATAATACATTTAATGAATGTCAACGTTTCAGTTGTTTCAGTGAATGAAGAGGGAACATCCTGGTAATCTAAACTGCTTTTAAGATGTTGGGCCTAATTACTGCCAACCACAATTCTGTGTGGAAAACTGTATCAATCCATGTACTATAGAGCAGTGAGGGGATCATGTGTCAGTTTCTGTGCCACACCAACATCCATCAGTTTGTCTGCTGTATGAATAGATATTATTATTGAACCCATACACAACCCATGCCTATAGAACCTGCCTCTTGGTTGCAGTATCAGGGTTAGGGTGTGAAGTTCATATCTTGGGCTGAATTTAGATTAGCAGAGCTGAGGCTATCTGAGGTATCTTGTGGCCCTATCCAATGAATGTTTAATGGGTCTGGAGATGTCGGCGTGGAGGAAGCTGACTGTGCTGCATCAGTAGGCCGGGCTGTAAAATGAGACAAGCAGGAAGCCGGCAGCTGGGGATGGAGGGGGGGAGGGAGTATTCAGAGAATGTATACATGGGAGCAGGAAACCAAAAGACACACTGCTGCACTAACAACCCTCAGAATGAAGATGGTATTGGTATGAATAAACATTTTGGAAATGCTCCTTTCAAAACCTGCACCCAAAACATGCTTATTTTAGGAGAAACAGACACTTCAACATGTTTACACAGCTAAGCCTGAGAGGTCACAGAGGGGTTAACATTAATTAATCAGAGTGGTACATAAAAGTTGAATTTATAAATGATTAGAAACAGCCGTCTTTCTTTACAAGCACAGAAGCAAGCAGGCTACAAAACGGGTCTAATAAATCATGTCGTGTCTGTCCGACCAACGATCACCAATACTACGAAGAGCGGCC